TACCTATTTTATACCTCTTTTCTTAAACCTTCAACACCTACACCTAACTATTCTCCCTGTCTGCTGAGGGCATACTTCTTATTTCACTTTAAAAAAAATTAAAGCAGAAGAAAACTTCCACAAATTTCCACCACCACATCTATCCACTAGCATACAGAGTACTGAGAATTTCTTAACTCCCCACATTCCCATGGGAACAAACAGAAATCAGAGCCAGTTTTAAGTTCAATTGATCAATTGAACATGCTTTTGCAAGCCAACAACTACCTGTTGATTCTGAAAATAAGCCAATCAGAAAGACTCACTTCAGTAAACATGCCCCTGAGTGCCAGCCAGTCAGCAATAGTTTCACCCAAGTTATCACTTCTATGATGATGTCAACACAATTAGACTCCTGAAAGTTCACCAATCCCTCAATCACCCACTTTCTCAAAATCAGTATGAGATTAGCAGTCTGGTTGGTCTGCTTGAAGCCATGCCTGACCCACATGGCTATGACTATCTCTAGTATAAGCAATAAATTCAGCTTTGTCTTTTTATTTCATACTAAAGGCCCAGTGCATGAAATTTGGGCACTGGGGGGGGGGTGTCCCTCAGCCCAGCCTGCACCCTCTCCAATATGGGACCCCTGTGGGATCAGGCCTAAACCGGCAGTCGGACATCCCTCTCAGAATCTGGGACAGCTGGCTCCCAACCGCTCGCCTGCCTGCCTGCCTGATTGCCCCTAACTGCTTCTGTCTGCCAGCCTGATCACTCCCTAACCACTCCCCTGCCAGCCTGATTGATGCCTAACTGCTCATCTGTCAGCCCGATTGTCCCCAACTGCCCTCCCCTGCCACCCTGGTTGCCCCCAACTGCCCTCCCCTGCAGGCCTGGTCGCCCCCAACTGCCCTCCCCTGCAGGCCTGGTCACCCCCAACTGCCCTCCCCTGCAGGCCTGGTCACCCCCAACTGCCCTCCCCTGCAGGCCTGGTTGCCCCCAACTGCCCTCCCCTGCAGGCCTGGTTGCCCTCAACTGCCCTCTCCTGCTGGCCTGATCACCCACAACTGCCCTCCCCTGCCAGCCATCTTGTGGCTGTGGGCGCCACCATCTTTGAGGGTGGGGCAGTCAATTAGAATATCCCCTCCTTATTGGCTGTGGGCACTGCCATCTTTGCAATGGCATGAGGGTCAATTAGCATATTCCCTCTTTATTAGATAGGCTATTGAGTAGTTGTCTTATCATTCTCTGATAGTACTTTACCTTTCCTCCTGTTACTATAGATCAGTAGTTCTCAAGTGGGCACAATTTTGCCTCCCAGGGGCTATTGGCAATTTCTGGAGTCATTCTGGTATCTGGGGTGATGGTAGAGGTCAGTGATGCTGCAAAACATTTTAACACAATGCACAGGATAGTCCTCCCTCCCCCAAAAAGAAGTACCTCTCCCAAAATGTCAAAAGTGTAGAAATTGAGAAACCCTGCTATACCCTGTGTTCCTCTCTAAGGCCAACCTTATACACTACACCTAACGATCCCCTCTTGCCTACTCAAGGACATTGACCAAGTTCTCCCCTCTACTGAATGTTCCCTTCAGCATCAAGATATTATTTCTGCCATCTTAGAAAAAAAACAAAAACCTTGCCCTAACCGGTTTGGGTCAGTGAATAGAGCATTGGTCTGCAGACTGAAGGGTCCCAGGTTCGATTCCAGTCAAGGGCATGTACCTTGGTTGTGGGCACATCCCCAGTAGGAGGTGTGCTGGAGGCAGCTGATCGATGTTTCTCTCTCATCGATGTTTCTAACTCTCTATCCCTCTTCCTTCCTCTCTGTAAAAAATCCTGGACTGCTGACTCCTAATCGCTCACCTGCCTGCTTGCCTGCCTGGTCACCCCTAACTGCCATCCCCCCACCAGCCTGATCGCCCCTCACTGCCTCTGCATGCCAGCCTGATAGCCCCTAACTGACCCCCCTGCTGGCCTGGTCGCCCCTAACTGCCCCCCATCTGCTTGCCAGGGTCTCCCCCAACTGCCCCCCCTG